TTTCCTCATCTCATCCGACTTGTAAAAGACATCAATTTCTGTCCCAAGTTGAATAGAAGTAGATCTTCTCTCAAATCTGCCCTATTTTAGTCATGTTTTGGCTTTCTATTAATGGTTATTAATGGCTTAAGACAGTCCTTCCAAAATGTCAAGATATTTCCTTGAAATGAGCCTAAGTACCAGTTATGATGTTTCCCATTTATTGCTTATGTTGACTGGAGGTGGAATGAGAGAGATTTCCCATTTGTTACTTGGTTGACTGGAAGTGGAATGAGAGAGGGAGCTGGTGGGTTCCTCCATCAGTTGTTCCCAAGAAAACCAATGTGTGGCTTTGTTTGTGAATTGTATCAATGGTTTGAAAATGCTAATATTTTGTGTAGTCCCTTGGTAACATGGATCTGCTGGAGAAGGGCTCGATTTGCACCACTTTCACCACCCAAACTCAGGAGCTGATGAGTTCTCCAAGTCCCATTCCAGTCCATGGAGGAAAATGAGAAAGGCAAACGCAAGTCATCTGTGTAGGAAACTTCTCTGAGTGGGAGAAACAACACATGGAGGTTCTGGGCTCTCTGTAGAAGAAGCCCAGGCAGTAGACTGTGCCTCAATTACTTACTGGACACTACTTCAATTTGCTTATTAAAAAATACTGCCAGCAAAGACCCAGATGCTCATGGCCATGTGAAACCCCTAATGGACTCTGCTCTCTGGTGCTGGTCCATAGTAAGGATATGTTGAACTGAAAGTCTTTTTGTCTACACACATTGGGAACTCTCTTCCACATGTATGATCTGAAGGCACTTGGACACATCTGAGAGCAATGCCAGGTCCTTGCAGGGGAGAGGAACTCGTGACATCTCCCCCTCCATCCGCAGGATGTGTCGACGAGATCCAGCCCAACAGGTCCAGGTGTGGCCAGGTTTGCTGTGCCAGGGCTGAGCTGTGCCAAGGATGGTCACAACAGCAGCCTACATGCTGTGCCATGTGTACATGGCACATGGTGCAGGGTGGCTGCTCCATCACGCAGGGGTTACAGGAAGCAGGACAGAGCTGCTCTGGGAGTTGATGCAGCGATTCTCTACATCTGAATGGGCACCTGGTTTGCTTCAAGCAATGAATTGATGTATTTAGGGCAGTGGTTTGTACAGACACCTGCAGCCTTTGTTCTACATGGAAATGGCTTGCTTGGCCCATGGGTGTTCCCTCCCCTGGCTCGTGGCACTTCCTTCCCAACCCATGTGGGTGATCCATCTGCTGTTGGTTCATGGTGTGTGGCGATGAGCTGCTCTCATCAGGAAAAAAGAAAGGATGAGGATGAGCAGACCCCAAAATTCAGCAGACAGGTGGAGGGGCAGCATGTCTTTAGCAACTGCTGCATGTCACCAAGAAAACGTTAATTAAGGCAAGGAAAATGGGTATTTTAGCTCAAAACTGGTAAGGAAAAAGATGAGTCATGGCCACTGAGTATCAGCTCCTCCTGACGGGAAATATGATATTGTCTTAATCTTCACCTGAGCCTGATAATGGTCCTGAGGTCATGTGGGATCATCAGGCTCTGCAGTGCAGTGCACAGTACTCCTCAACAAAATTCTTAAGGGAGCAGACAAAGCTCAGGACTTGACAAAATAGGGTTGAAGAAGAGCACTTGCATTGTATTCCCTTGAGATGCAACAGCATCTAGGAAATATTGAGCTGGGCCAAAGCAGAAGAGGAAGGATTTTGTGTAAAATCCGAAGTGCTGTTTAGCAGATGCATTGTAATGGATCTGTTTCCTACTTCTCCATTTTAAATTATGATCTTTTCTACTTTTTTGTTGTTGTCTGTTTACCATGATTATTCTTCCCAGCAGGACACACAGTTCTCAACCCAAGCCATGTTTTTATTTAGGTATATTAAAAGAGGATAAATTCAGCTGGAAACTTTGTTAAAATTCTCAGTAATTGTAAGTAACTGTAAGTAACTGTAAGTAACTGTAAGTAACTGTTGAAGTTTAACTACAAAAATGTAGCACAAATGGATTGTCTGGGCTGCTATTGGCCATTCCTGGGGTAAGACTGTAAGAGACCAAGTTTTGAAAAAAACCCAACAACAACGGTATTTTAGAATTATTGTTTTCAGTGTTGGAACTAGATGACCTTTGAGGACCCCTTCAACCCAACCATTCTATCATTCTATGATCTTGAAGGACCCTTCCAAACCAATCCCCTATGGTTCTGTGATATATAAGGACCCTTCCAACCCAACCATCCTATGGTTATGTGATCTTTAAGGACCCTTCCAGCCCAACCATTCCATGGTTCTATGATTCTGTGACTGCCTGGAGAACACTGTGTCTACTTCTGGGAAAAGGCCTTCATCTGGTCACTAAGCACCCAAAAACTTGCTCATTTCTATTCATACCAACTGGTCTAATGGCAGCTCTTAGCTCTCCCTACAAACCCTTCATTTAGGGGATCTTCTCAGGGGAAGTTCACAAAGCTCTGACCACACAACCACTGTGCAACTGAAGGGTGCCCAGAGTGGCTTCCTCCAGCATCTGTGGAAGGAAGAGCATCATTCTGGAGACACAAGACAAAGATGAAGACTTGATGCTCTCAGCAGCAGGACTTGGCTGCCAAATGCTTTTTGACACATCCATGGCCATTACATCTGCACCAGTATGTGCTGGGGCTGGAAAAGTAAAGAAAGCCCTGCACAGAGATGGTGAGAGAATGGAGGGGGAATCAGAGTGATGCTCGGTGGAAGAATCTGGGCAGAACATCTTGGTTTAATTGATGGGTGTTTACATCTCTCAGAACTTATTCTTTTCCATTTACAACTTTGCATTCATTAAAGCAAAGATCAATACAGAATTTTTTTTCCTCTTTCTGTTTTCAAGACACAGTCTCAGCTTTGTGAACCAAAGACTGTTAGCAAGAAGGCACAACTTGGACACCCTCCCTGTCCATGCAGCCCTTTGGAAGCAGTGCTTAATTCCAGGAATAAGAAAAAATGGAGAAAAGGAAACTAAGGCAGAAAATTCTTTGCTCTGTGTGGTGCATTCTTGGTATGTGTGAAGCAAGGTGAGCCACCCCCAGCCCAATTCAATAGGAGAACAATATCAAGACCTCGTGTCTCATAAAATAAGATGCCAAAGGAGGTGGGGAAATTCAAGAGAGATCAAACCTTCGTGAGGTGCATGGATAACTGTGCGAACTGTAATTAATGGTGGAGGGGCGGGCTAATGAGATAAGGAAATCTCATCTGAGCAAAGCTGATGAGTCAAGCAGGATTTGTTGGAATTTCACAACTCCTTCATTGGTGTGTGGTGTTTACTCTATCTCCTGCTCAAGTGCCCAATAATTGCTGCCTGATGATACAAACCAATAATAACATTAACAGAGCTGATAATTACCACGGAATGGAAACGAACTTCTCCGAACATATAAAGGAGAACTTCTGTTACCCCCAGCAGAGGAGCTGAGGATCCTGCACTCTCATTTCTCCTCCTGTTTTACAGCCTTCCCCATCTGCTCTCATCTTAACTCTCTGAAGCGTCGCTATGAGCTACCATTTCTTCAGATTTGGCGATGGGAATTTCAGTTCTTCTTCTGCTCACTGTGGCACGCTGGGGAGTGGGAGAGGCTCCTCTGCCATGAGCCATTGGGAAGATGATAGAGGACAAAGATTTGGTGGTTATGGCTATGGCTGTGGGTATGGCTATGGCAGCAGGAGCCTCCACAACCTCAGTGGGTTTAGGAACTTTTCTACTGGTGGAATCTATGGAGGAGATGTAGGAGGGTATGGAAGGCACTGGGGGTACTATGGTGGGAGATACCTGGACAGGGACTTAGGGAGCAGAGGGTATTCCGTAGGGGATTTTCAAGGAGGGGAAGGTAGGATGTATGGAGGAGGTTCAAGCAGGGGAGTGCTCAGTGGAGGCCTTCGTGAGCATGGGACTGGGCAGGGCTTGAGGCACACTGCTGCTGGTGGAGGCATCGAGGAGATCCATATCGACACCAACCTGCTGAGGCCAATACAAGTGCAAGTTGACCCTGAGTTCCAGAGAATGCGGTCAGATGAGAAAGAGCAGATTAAGACACTCAACAACAAATTTGCATCATTCATTGATAAGGTGAGTCCCTGTTCTTTCTTTGCTTATCGTGGAGTGGAAAATCCAGGGGTGCTTCTTACAGGTCCAACCAATGCATCTGATCCTCCTCTGCATCTCATCCTCTGCCTCAAAATCTCTGCACTGGCTGGACTCCCTTCTGCCTTGATGGCTTGCTACAAACGCTGTTGTGTGAATTATATTTAGCTGTGGAATAGGAATCTCTGTGTCATGTCTTGTGGCAGGACAATAACGAATTACTGCACTGTTGCCAACATATCAACTCATTTGACTTTTGAGGAAATGGCTTTGTGCATGGTTACTGATACTCCAGGGCTAAGAACTGTTTGTGCTAGCAAGAGAAACAAGTGGCGGATTTGAGCATTCTGGAGGTTTTCTGTTTCTTTTTCTCAAGCCTAGCAAAACGTTTCATTTCTCCCAACCATAAAACATGGACTTATTTGCTTGGAGATCTTCCAGATGTTTTGCACACCATTCTTTACCTCTTTCCATAGTCTATATTCAGAACTTTCACCTTTGTATGATTTTAACTTCTCAGTCATTCCTACACAAATGCACAGGAGAAAAACAGCCTGAAAAACACTTCCACCCACGCAGACAAAGGTGTGTGCCTTTGTTTGGGTGTTCACGTGTGTCTGCATAGGGTGGAAGCTGGTGTCATTTGTTACACATGAAGACATAAGAGCCTCTTGTATTACCATACAGAAAAGGTGTCGGTTACACCCAGCTGTTTTAACCATGCTTAATCCTAAAAAATGGGGTCACTTGGACTCTTTCTTCTTTATTTTAAACCTTTTGCATGAGAGCTGCCAGTGTACAGTGTTGTTCGTTGTCCCTACGCTGCTGTCAGTGCTTCCCAGTGGCTGAGGTGCTCCTGTGTTTTGTCTTCCAGGTTCAGTGCCTGGAGAGGCAGAACCAGGCTCTGATGACCAAATGGGAACTGTTGCAGCAGCAAAGCTCCCAGCCGGAGGAGAGGAGAAGCATCACCTCTTTCTTCCAGTCCTACATCAATAACCTGCAGAGGCAGCTGGACACACTCCAGAGCCAGAAGGAGCAGCTGGATCCAGAAGCCTATGAAATACTTCAGCTTGTTGAAGATTACAAAAAGAGGTGAATAGTCACTAAACCAGGAAAAGGCATATTGTTGAGCTGGAGTTTTCCCAGGCAGTGGTATCATGCTTTGGGATGGCATGGCTTTCTGGCCTTCACACACGCTGTAGACTTGAGACCACTGCTCCATGGTAGGCTTGTTTGGGGCTTTTGGAGCTGAAGTTGAAAGCAAGTTCAACATGTCCACTGTTTGGATGATTCTCTTTTGTTTATGATCCATTTGGCTGAAGAAGTCAGATAGGCAATTAGATACCTGTTTCTTCTCTCTGCTACAGATTTGAGGACGAAATCAACAAGCGTGCATCTAAAGAAGAGGAATATGTGGAGCTTAAAAAGGTGAAGTAACTCAAGACACTGGGTTAAACCAAAGCCTTGGAAATAAAACGGTTGGTTGTTGAGGTTTTCAGAAATAGGGATTAACTCCCTTTGTCTGGAGACATCTAAAATCTGAGCTGTTTACTGACAGAATGGAGAAAAATCACTTCTTCCAGAGAATGTCTTCGTTCTGTGTAAGATGTGTATCTAAAAGTCTCTGTGTGTCTCCATTCACTCAAGCCTAAAGGAGAGACTGTTGTTAGGGTCTGAAGTTGAGGAAGATAAATCTAGCACAAGGATCTGTGTGCTCCAGGAATGAAAGACTGAAATCAAACTTTGTATGAACTGCGATTCAGAAAGGAGTTGGCCATCAAAGGAACATAAATCAGTGCTTGTTTCTTTCACAGGAACTGGACAGTGCCTACATGAGAAAAATGGAGTTTGAAGTTCGGGTGGAAATACTAAAGCAGGAGCTTGAGTTCCTCAGATGCTTATATGAGGCGGTGAGTATGTTTCTTGGGTCAGGAGCACACACACCCTTTGGAAGCTGCAGGAAAATTCTCCTGAGCAGGATTTGGTGTGCAGGGTGGTGCTGTAGATGGGATCACCCTTGATTTAATAATGTTGTGGGTTTTTTTAATCTGTGAGTGAAAAAAGGGGCTAGAAGAAACATGGGAAAATTGAAACTGGGGGTGGAGCAGCAGGACTTGAGGGAGGCTGGGATATTCCAGTGGGTAACTGACCAGAAGGTCCAATTTCAGTCCTCATAACAGGACCCAAACTGCTTGTCTGGACTGTGAAAATCCAAAAATCTTGTTTTTCTTGCAGGAGCTGTCCCAGCTGCAAACAGTAGTTGACAACACCAATGTCATTCTGTCCATGGACAACGGCAGAGAAGTGGACATGGATAGCATCATTGAAGAAGTCAGGCAGGCGTATGAGAGAACTGCTCAGAAAGGCAAAGATGAAGTCAATGCCATGTACCAAGGCAGGGTGAGTAGACATATCAATGAGTCTCCCTTGCTTAGGGTTAGTTGATCCAGAAACCAACATGTCCATTCTCTTCTCTCTACCCATCAGTACCAGGACCTTCAGAACATGTGGGTAAATCAACGAGAGCAACTGAGGAACAGTTACCAGGAAATCCAAGAACTTACCAGGCAGATCCAAAGACTGCAGCCGGAAATTGAAATAGTCAGGAAAGAGGTAAAGCTGATACATCCCAACAAGACTGAACTATTCTTGCCACTCTTACATGGAGACAAAGTGGAGAATAATGTAGCCTGCCCTTTGGAGGCAAAGCTAAAGATGATAATTTCTCTTCAAAATGAAGAAAATTTGAATTTTGAGTGTCTACTGGGATTTAATTTCAGTTGATTTACCCAGTCTAATGTTGTATCTTCTAAGCTTTGTCATTATGGTCTTTTAATTTCCAAGAAAAACAAGGAGGGCTTGAAAATCCCAGTCCCACTGGAAGAAACGGGACAAATTCTATTTATGCCCTCTACAGAATGACAGACACCAAGAGGCTATCAGAGATGCTGAGCAGCGTGGGAGCTCTGCAGTCAAAGACGGACAGAAAAAGCTTCAGGATCTGGAGAATGCTTTGCAGCAGGCCAGGGAAGACCTGGCTCAAATTCTGCATGATCATCAGGAGCTTCTGAATGCTAAATTGGCCCTGGATGTTGAAATTGCCATGTACAGGTCACTGCTTGAAGAGGAGGAGATCAGGTAGGCACAAACTGCTCATCACAAGTAGCAGCAACCTATCCCATCCTATGATCCATCACTTGGATCTTAGATAAGTTCCTCCCTGGAAGGGTTGAGATCTTTGTTTGCCTATTGATAGCACCTAGGATTATTTTCATGTTTGCTGGTTCCATCCTCTTAATGTCACTTTTTGTTCACAGGATACTGGAAGGTGTGCCAGCCACTGTCTGTAAGTATCTTCAGGTTTCGCAGTTCTTGAGGCCCCTCTTATTATTTTGCTTGCAGTATGCTTAACACTGACCACCAGAACAATGCCATGTGCTTCTAGATTAGTTTCCTAGGTAAAAGAAACAAGTGGCACTCCTTCACGAGTGGAAATATGCATATATATGTGCATTTATATGTCAATATATGTCAATCTCAATTTTAAATTCATTGGTTAAATTCCACCAAATTCAGCCAAATACAAAGGAAAGGGAGGATAGCTCACTATGTCCATGTGGTGAATGTAGGAAATAGTCCTAATATTTCTGTAAGTAGAAAGTCAACTAAAGGAGAGACAGGCCAGGGCTCACTCATATTCTTTTCAGAAGACCAAGACATGGCCAAACGAAAGTTAATATGTATCTCTTATATCCTACAGAAGTCACTGCTGGAAGAATAAGGTTGATATATCTTTACTTCTTGCAGGTGTTGTTACACACAGTGCGAGCGGTGCCAGTGGCATTGGAAGAGAATATGGCGACTTTAACAGAGGAGAGGAAGAGATGAGCTCTGATGATAGCAAGAGGACAATACGAACAGAGACAATACCGGGAGGGGGAAGTGAAGGTGGAAGACAAAGTGATAGAGGATCAACGTATGGCAGTAGAGGACAAAGGGGTGGAGAAGAAGGGAGATATCATAGCGGAAGGAGCTCAAGCTCGGGCTCTGCATCTGGGTATGCATCAGAAGGGAGAATTAGCAGAGGTGGCCACAGCTCCGGACACTTTGGGTCGAGCTCTGGCAGTGGATCTGGCAGGAGAGGGTCTATTTCTGGAGGAAGTGGGAGCTCAGGTCATGGCGGTTCCAGCTATGGCAGTGGAAGTGGGGGCTCTATCTGTAGAGGAGGAAGCTCTGGCTCTGGCTCAGGATCCGGTGGTAGCTTTGGAAGTGGTGGTTCGTCACCTGGAGGTGGCCACAGCTCTGGAGGCTTTGGTTCGAGCTCTGGCAGTGGCCGATGCAGTCCTCACGGTGGAGGGCTGAGCTCTGGAAGGAGCAGTGGCTCTGGCAGGAGAGGGTCCATTTCAGGGGAAGGAGGGAGCTCAGGTCATAGGGGATCGAGCTATGGCAGTGGAAGTGGAGGCTCCATCTGTGGAGGAGGAGGCTCTGGCTCTGGCTCTGGCTCTGGGTCTGGGTCAGGTTCTGGAGGAAGCTTTGGCAGTGGTGGGTCCTCGTCTGGAGGTGGCCACAGCTCCGGACACTTTGGGTCCAGCTCTGGCAGTGGATCTGGCAGGAGAGGGTCTATTTCGGGAGGAAGTGGGAGCTCAGGTCACGGCGGTTCCAGCTATGGCAGTGGAAGTGGGGGCTCCATCTGTAGAGGAGGAAGCTCTGGCTCTGGCTCAGGATCCGGTGGTAGCTTTGGAAGTGGTGGTTCGTCACCTGGAGGTGGCCACAGCTCTGGAGGCTTTGGTTCGAGCTCTGGCAGTGGCCGATGCAGTCCTCACGGTGGAGGGCTGAGCTCTGGAGGGAGCAGTGGCTCTGGCAGGAGAGGGTCCATTTCAGGGGAGGGAGGAAGCTCTGGTCATGGGGGATCGAGCTATGGCAGTGGAAGTGGAGGCTCCATCTGTGGAGGAGGAGGCTCTGGCTCTGGCTCTGGCTCTGGCTCTGGGTCTGGGTCAGGTTCTGGAGGAAGCTTTGGCAGTGGTGGATCCTCGTCTGGAGGTGGCCACAGCTCCGGACACTTTGGGTCGAGCTCTGGCAGTGGATCTGGCAGGAGAGGGTCTATTTCGGGAGGAAGTGGGAGCTCAGGTCATGGCGGTTCCAGCTATGGCAGTGGAAGTGGGGGCTCTATCTGTAGGGGAGGAAGCTCTGGCTCTCGCTCAGGATCTGGTGGTAGCTTGGGAAGTGGTGGTTCGTCACCTGGAGGTGGCCACAGCTCTGGAGGCTTTGGTTCCAGCTCTGGCAGTGGCCGATGCAGTCCTCACGGTGGAGGGCTGAGCTCTGGAGGGAGCAGTGGCTCTGGCAGGAGAGGGTCCATTTCAGGGGAAGGAGTGAGCTCAGGTCATGGGGGATCGAGCTATGGCAGTGGAGGCTCTGGCTCTGGCTCTGGGTCTGGGTCAGGTTCTGGAGGAAGCTTTGGCAGTGGTGGGTCCTCGTCTGGAGGTGGCCACAGCTCCGGACACTTTGGGTCCAGCTCTGGCAGTGGATCTGGCAGGAGAGGATCTATTTCGGGAGGAAGTGGGAGCTCAGGTCATGGCGGTTCCAGCTATGGCAGTGGAAGTGGGGGCTCTATCTGTAGAGGAGGAAGCTCTGGCTCTGGCTCAGGATCTGGTGGTAGCTTTGGAAGTGGGGGTTCGTCACATGGAGGTGGCCACAGCTCTGGAGGCTTTGGTTCGAGCTCTGGCAGTGGCCGATGCAGTCCTCACGGTGGAGGGCTGAGCTCTGGAGGGAGCAGTGGCTCTGGCAGGAGAGGGTCCATTTCAGGTGAGGGAGGAAGCTCAGGTCATGGGGGATCGAGCTATGGCAGTGGAAGTGGAGGCTCCATCTGTGGAGGAGGAGGCTCTGGCTCTGGCTCTGGCTCTGGCTCTGGGTCTGGGTCAGGTTCTGGAGGAAGCTTTGGCAGTGGTGGGTCCTCGTCTGGAGGTGGCCACAGCTCCGGACACTTTGGGTCCAGCTCTGGCAGTGGATCTGGCAGGAGTGGGTCCATTTCAGAAGAGGGAGGAAGCTCTGGTCATGGGGGATCGAGCTATGGCAGTGGAAGTGGAGGCTCCATCTGTGGAGGAGGAGATGCTGGCTCTGGCTCAGGATCCAGTGGTTGCTTTGGAAGTGGTGGGTCTGTATCCCATGATGCTGGAACATTCAGTGGAGGGTCATGCATTTCTCCTGTTGGTCACAGCTCTAGTAATTGGGGTTCTAGTTCTTTTGGTGAAGGTTATGGGTATCGTGGTTCGTGCTCTGGGGATATCTGTGGTTCTGGCAGTGAAGGGTATGGGATTGGGAGTGGGCATTTTTCTGGAGGGGATGGCTGTTACCAGGGTGGTGGTGAGTGTGGTGGAATTGATTATTACGGTCGTAGGGTTGAAACTGGAGAATGCAGCTCTGAAGTTGGGCCATCTTCTCCAAGATGTGCATACTCATCTGGTTCAGCTTTTGGCTCAGAGACTTCTGATTTTTCTGGTGATCCTTACCAGAAGTAGTTTTTGCTGCTGGAATGGGAGAAATGCTTTCCCCTTGCTTTTATTGCAAGTATGGCTTTTCTGTCCATCACTGGGTCACTTGTGACACTGACCATTTTTCTCCATATACAGCCATTTGTTGAATTCTCCAATCTGTCACTGCTGCACCTCTCTCTTGTGATTGTGTTTTGATGATTTTTCTTGTTTCCTTAGTCTTTTTCTGTAATGGCCTGAGCACTTCAGCTCATTCTGTCTGTTGCCTTTTCTTTGCCAACTAAAAGCTTGACACCCTGTCCCGTGTCTGTGTGTCCATTCATGAGTGCAGCTCCGACATGTACAAGACTTTCAAACCAACTGAGTGAAATACAAAATACATCTTATGGAGACCTGATCCAAAGTCAGGGCAAATTTATTAGAAACAGGATGACTTGTGGTTGGTTGTGGCTGACCATCTGCTGTGAAGAATGGTTTCAGGGTATACGCCCATTGGCCAAATCCACACAGTCAACCAGGACACATGGATCCATCTCAATACATGGAAGCTCTCTATGAGGTTGGGTTTGGAAGGCATCTCTGGGCCCATCTAGTCCCTCCCCTCTGCTCAAACAGGGCCACTCAGGTCACAGATCATGGGCCCAAGACAATACCCAGGTTGTTTTTGATTATTTTTGAGCAACCTATTCCAGTGTTCAGTTACTTATAATTAAGTATTTCCTACTATTCATCTGGAAGCTCTTGTCTTGCAGTTTGTGCCCATTTCCTCTTCTCCTGGCAATGGGCACCACTGCAAGGAGCCCTGGCTCTGTCCTATTTGCATCTCCTGATGATGGACAGAGCAGATGAGGTTACCAGGAAGGTTTTCTCAAGAAGCTCAATGCAATGGTGTCATCTTAATTTAACAACACTACACTTAGATAACCGGAGTATCATAATCCACACCAGGAATATTGCTTGTCTATTCCCATTCAGAGGGAAAGTTGGAACCTCTAAACTGTTTTCCCAGATTATGAATAGTAGTGGGAAGGGCAGCCAGTGGCAGCTCTTTTCTGGGGAATGAGGTGCTCTTTAGGCAGGAAATCCACTGTGGAGATCCATTTACAAATGTCCATCAAAACATGA